AGGGGGCCAGTTAGGATGGGGGGAGGGTCTCAGGAGGGGGCAGTCAGGGGACAAGAGGCAGGGAGGCTTAGGTAGGGGGTGGAGTCCTGGGGGGCAGTTAGGGGAAGGGGTCCCAGGAGGGGGCAGTCAGGGGACAAGGAGTGGGGGGAGGGTTGGGGGTTCTGGGGGGGGAGTGGGAGGAGCAGGGGCAGGGCTAGGGCAGGATGGGGCGGGGCTAGGGCAGGACAGGGGCGGGGCTCCTCCCGTCCTCTTTTTTGATTGCTGGATTATGGTAACCCTACTTATGCAGTTTCTGGAAAGAGCTCAGTCATTTACTCTTAGCTTGTTGTTTGCGTACAGGATCCTTGCGGAAAATATCCTGATAAAAGGTGCTGTGTGGAAGAATGAGAGACCCACAAATATGTGAGAGAAGATGTGTGAAAATGAAGAAGCTGCTCTAAAAGCTCAAAATGTGATTAGAGAAACAAGCTAATTAACTTCAGGCAAGGACAGCAGGGGCCTAGTGAATTGAGCATGCAGCTAGGAGTCAGGAGACATCAATTCCAGTCCTGATTCTGCCACTGACTTCCTGACTGGGTCTCACTGAACTCAGTTACCCCACGTCTGAAACAGGGGATAACAAAGTAACTATCTGCCTTCATGATCTGCAGATGTCAGAATTATTAGCATCATTATTAAGCAACACCTTCTGCTGGTTCATTTTGTACTATTAAAGGGAAAAGTGTTGTTCATTTAAACACTGATAACTTTAGTTCGTAGATGATAGTGTAGAATGGAACTGCCTGGATCACTGAGTCCACCCTCCTCTGCAACTCTACAGGCTGAAATATTTCTTCTATATAGCTGTTTAGAAATGACCTTTTCATTGATTTCTCCCCCCACCCCCCATTGATTCCCTTTTAAATGAATGGAGAACAAATGAATCTCTCAAATGGTTTGTAATCTTCTTAGCATATGCACAAAGTGCCTCAGGTGGCACGTGACCAGGATTCATCACCAAATTTGGTCTGCTGGTTTGGAATGAAAAACATTTATATTCCTTAACCAAAGGACTTCCAAACAGAAGTGATAAAACACGAACCTGATAGGTAGAAGCCTGTAAACACTTGGGTCAAAATTTTCATCCAGTTTGTACCACTGATTAAGAAGCTGCAGTTCTTTCTCATATTCGACCACAGGTTTATGTTGTGTGAGTGGAGACACATTAGGCAAATCCTGCTCATCTGAAATATTTGATTCTGGTTCTTTATTGGGGTGGGTCTCAACTGTCTTTTCTTTTGATGACTTGTCAGTTCCCAGAAAATTTTGGGTAACACCAGTCTGATTATCATCTACCTGTTCTGTTTTCTCAGTCAGAACTGCCTCTTTTGAGCCACCATGTAGTAAGCTACTTGGCATATTCTGCTTTAGCTTTATTGCAACCAGCTTTATGCTTTCAATTGTGTCTTTAATTGCGTTTAAGTTTTCCTTTGATATGATTTCTGGGATGACAGGATTGTCATGCTTTTGCCCAATGAAAACCTGAAAACAGAACAATGAGAAAATAGAGTAAAAAGCCATACAAAGGGGACAAAATACAGCCCTGGCATACACTTTGTGCAAAAATCAAGTCATTAAGTTTCCACAGGGTGTAACTCAGTGGAGTACTTACCAATTACCTCTATTCTTCAATACACTAGATCTGTAAGATGTGCATTGTTCAGAAAATAAAATAAATAAACAATCCCTAGAAAATATACTAGAAATCAATCACAGAAAATTAAACCCAAACTTACAAAGAATGTTTGGTGTCCCAACTGCTGGCACTTCTTCAGCATTTTCAAGTGAAGTAAAACCCTGCAGTGATTGTTGCTGACACCATCTTTTAGCCCCCATCTTAGGTCCAGCATCTGGAAGTTGTAACCTCTTTCTTTACAGTAATTGTACAGACAAGGGTATGACTTTTCCATTAATGCATTTCTATCTGCCTTTGAATCTGGCTCAAAAAACAAGCATACTGAAGCTAAATGGTTATATTGGTATAAAATACAGCTTTGCAGCATTTCATGCTAACACAAAGATTTAAATGAGTCAATGGGATAAATATTTCCCAAATAAAGGACGAGTTTAGAGATTATTTCATGGTTTGATGTGCTTTTTCATTCATGACCAGATGGTACTACATATAATAGTCACCTAAGGTGCACTGTTTATGATCACCATGTGCACACATCTTCCCAATCACATTCCATCCGTTTTGCTCATAGGGTGTACATTGTAACTAAAGACTTAAACACTCACAACCCTTTGGATGTTCACAATCCAGATGCAAATGTTGTGAGTGGCTCCTTTCTCAAAAATAGGACAGCCAAATCCCAAGACTATTGCACCCTTAAATGTTGGGATGAAAATCTGAAGGCAAATTTTGGGAGTCCATCTCTTTACATGCTGGGAACTGCACTTGCCTGAGGCACAAAAACCTCACAGCAGATTTGTTCCTGTGTGCAACCTTTGTAGGTTGGTTCCCCTCCCATCTTTACATCAATTTTATTATTAGCATCTTTAAAAACTATTTTGTCATCTTTTAAATGTATTAGGTATAAATACTGAAATGCAGCATGCTTGACAACTGTATTTTTAAAGGGACATGGGAGAATTCCCACCTTTTATATAGACAGCCCGAATGTACAGTTACTGGAACCTCCACACCACTGTTAGGAAAAAGGAAATGTACCCAGACTTTTTCTGAAGGGTCAGGTATGGCAGATTGGGAGTATTTTAGTGCTGACATCATGTGAAAATTTTATTGTTTCTTTTTTTAATTGACTGACTTGTTCATACTCGTTTGACGTTTCACACGCTAGGGTCCTGGAACTCTTATTTAAATGTAAAAAAAGTCTAGTGATGACTGCCATTTCCACTAACACACACTTTTTTTGCCTAAATGATGTCTATTTAGATAGCAAGTTTTTCAGGGCAGGTACCTGTCTTTCTCCACCTCCCCACCCGCCCACACACACACTTTACATGTGAATAGCACTTCATATGTTTAGAGCACTGTACAAACAATAACACATTAACCCCAGGTGATAGATAGGTAGGTACATATTATTATTCTTACTTTACAGATGGAAAAACTGAGACAATAAATGAAACAACTTGCTGTAGGCCAAACAGTGAGTCAAGGGCAGTCAGACTTAGAACAACAACCTCCTGACTCCCAGTCTTATGCTCTTTCCCTGAAACTAGACTTCCTGGCACTATATAGTGAATAATAATAATTAGACATGATAGTCCAGGAATCTCAGGGTGTGGGAGTGTCTGTGGTGGGAATGGGGCTGGTTTCCAATTGCTATACTTTGATAACCTCCACAAATGTAGACCATAAAGACTTTCTTTCTGACTGAATATGGTATATTGATGTGTCCCCTAATTATAGTCCTGTCTCTGTCACTATCAGGAGGGTCCCGTTGTTTATCTTCTCCCAGATTAGCAGGCACCTCCCAGCTCCTGAGTAACAAAGGAGTAGAAGACTTTGTTTTTTCAGCCCTGCTTGCAGACTGCGGCTCCAGCTGAGCTGTACTTTGTGATGAGGATTCACTGTAGACAGGTCTGTCTGCTCCATTATCCTGACTGGAATGCTCATTTTTAGCTAAAGCAACAGTTTCTAACAAAGCACTTTTCAATGAGTCTGTCATCACTCTGTTGTTTCCCTTGTCATCACTAATCTCCAGGCTCTTCAAGTGAGGTATTTCATCTGTTCTCTGGGTTGGCAGGACCCAATTATTTAAATTTACTCCTCTCTGCATTGCTGTTGTGTGCCTTTTGAAGAATAACTCCTCTTCTGATAAACAGGTTTTATCCTTCTGTTGAGATCTACCTGAAAATGCACTGGAATTTGCATGGTGACTTCTGGCCTGATCTGTAGTTTTTTCTTTGGACTGAAGAGAAATAAAATTTTCACATAAGAAATCTTACTGCAGCACCATGTCAAAATATGTACAGACTATGGCCAAATACTGCAATGCAAATGCGCACACACAATTGTCATCAACTTCAGTGGGAGTTACTTATCTGTATGGACTGCAGGGGGTGAACTAGCAGCCTAATGGTAGAGTTCAGCATTGTCATGTGAAAGACCTAAATTTGAGTCTTTGTCTCTTGTGAGAGTGGTGCAGACAGCACATCAAACCTATGTGGCAATGGGAGGGCCTTGTGTTGCTAAATGGAAAACCCTCTAGAGTCTAGACTCTCTCATTTTACTTCTTGTCTCTTACTACATCAAATGTCAGCTCCTGTTCCTGATCTGCAGGGTTCTACATAATCTTCCCCCCACAAGAATAGTTGTTTTCATTTCCTTCCTCTTCCCATGTCATTTCCTACACTTTTCCCCAATCCCTTTGCCTTTCTTTCCTGAGGCCAGGGCAGTAGAGTTTGAACTGATGACCAAAGTGGCTAGAACAGGCATTGTGGGACACTGCTGAATAATTCTGGAGGCCATTCACAGCGCATTGGGCGGCCACACTGGCGCCACAGCGCTGCAGCGGCAGCGCAATACTTGCTATTCCTCTTGGGGACATGGAGTACATGCAGCACTGCAACCACAGAGATACAGCGCTGCAAATGCCTTGCCAGTGTGGACAGGGAGTGAGTTACAGCGCTGGGGGCGGCTTTACACCGCTGTAACTCGCAAGTGTAGCCAAGGCCTTAGAGTCATAGAGTTTAAGACCAGAAGGCCGCAGGTGTGACCTCCTATATATCTCAGGCCACCAATATCTCCCAGAACCTGCATGCTAAACCCAACAGCAGAAATTAGACTACATTGTTACAGCCCACAGGAGACCGAACTATTATGTGCCACAGATAGAGCCTGGCAGACATGCCAACTCTTGCGAATTGATCTTGAGAGACATGATTTCTAAGTAAAATTAAGTCTGACTCATGATCTTGTGATAGAACTCTGAAATGTCGGGATTAGGGCTGTCAAACTATTAAAATAATTAATTGTGATTAATTGCACTATTAAACAATAATAGAATATCAATTTACATTTATTATAAATATTTGTGGATGTTTTTCTACATTTTCAAATATATTGATTTCAATTACAACACAGAATACACAGTGTAGAGTGCTCACTTTATATTATTATTTTTGATTATTTTGTGCTTTCTCCTCTTCCACATCTCTTTTCCATACTTGCTGGTATTAATCCTGTTAATCCCTCCTTATATGGAAGAACCCAATGATGTCAATAATTTGCCCACAAAGGGTGGGAGGGAAGAAAAAGATACTGAGGAAACGCCCTACCCAAGGACCTGTTGGAAAACTCCCTTCACTACATGGGATGGGGGAGATCAAAGGAACCGCAGCTGATGACCTCACTCCCTGCACACACTTTTTGGGCTCCCATCATTCCCCAACATAATCAAATGCATGTCTTCATTTGAAACCTTACTGACACACATTTTAAGTAGAGCTCTACTTGTAAGTCTATGGCTGGACAACTGGTCTCATATTTTTCACTGATTCTTACCCTCAGAGTAAAAGCCTCTGTATTTCCCAAGGCAGCTAGACTTTCATCCTCAAGTGCTGCCTGACGTCCAACCGGCTGCTTCAGCCTTCGAGCAAGGCGATGCTCCATATGATGCTAGAAACATGGGTAAGAGATGAATTAGCAAACTTTAATTTTCAGCTATTCCAAGCAATCTGAAAACAAGGGAAGTTACCACATACCTTTAAATGGGACTTCCCTTGTATGTCGGTTTCTCCACTTATTTTTGTACTAGATACATGCTAATGCCAATATTGTCTCTAGATATCACAAACAAAAATTAAGAGGTTCCTTAACAGTACATTTACACTTAATCCAGAAAGTTTTGTTGTTGTTTGTTTGTTTTTTTAAGAAAAAACTTGAAATGGCATATCCAAAAAACCAAACCAAAAAAACAGCTAAAACCAAAAAAATTGTCAATGAGTTAAATTCAACCGCTAGTTCAAGCCTCCTTCTGAAAAGTCACAATGTAAAGGTAATTTCTGAAGATTTGTAATAAGGTATCAGCTTTGACAAATGATCTTAACATCATGATAATTGAGCCATTCTTGAGAAACCCATTTCTCAGATAGGTACCTCTAGCAGTCCTGTATATTCTTAATAACTAACACATATTTAGGGCCAAATCCTGATTGTCTTACTTACATAAATAGTTCCACTGAAGTCAATATAAACACTAGCATGAATAAGTGAACTACACTTCCTCTTGGGCTCACAATCCCCAGACTGAGAACTCTCGATCTACAGTAATGGAAATATTTACATGAGTAAAGCAAGCAAGACTGGACCCTAACTATACTTTCTATTGCTTAATTGTGTATTAGTTAGTACATTTCTTGAAATTCTACTGTTTTAAATTGAGCAAGGAAGAAAACATATTCTTGCAGTTAAAATGTTTTCATTGTCTTTATTCGCTATTTTTCGGAAATACTTTACATTTGTTTCCATAACTCAAGAAGTTAACTCACCCCAGCCCACTTAGAGCTGACAGCTTTGTACAGAGATTGCTGGGAACATGAAATCTGTGGGGAGAAGAACAGTTCCTGAAGGGTTTTGGATGATCTCTGGCTGTTCAAATTACTGTGCTGCTGAAAATACAGAGAAACTTTTTATTAAAAATTTAAAATTTTCCTCCAGATCTAAATTTTAGGGACATGATTTGGTTCATTGAGTCTGAATAAACTGTTACTATGGACCTTCTACTAAAGTAATAATTTCAGAGAATAACACAGTTTGTCTTTACAGTTTTTATAGTATCAAAATGTGAGGTGTATATACCAAAGCAACATGCATTTATGAACAACAGGGAGGGGTTAAACTGATGGAGAAAAAGTAGAGGTACTCTTCAAAGCTCTATCTTCAACCAAACTCTACCTACCAAAGATACTACAGTGTGACACCACAATGAAACAAATGGAAAAGTGAGTTATTGTTATATCATCTTTCTCATTTATTTGTAAAGGAAAGCAGCTTTGTAATGTCTGATTATATATATCAGGAATGGCCAAACTTACTGACTTTCCAAGCTGCATATGATAATCTTCATAAGTTAGAGAGCTGGGCGCACTTGCTGGGGCTCGGGGCTTCAGCCCTGCGGGGCACACTTGCTGGGGCTTGGGGCTTCAGCCCTGCTCCTGCTGAAGCCCCAAGCTCCAGCAGGTGCCTCCCGCAGGGCTGAAGGCCCAAGACCCCCCCAAGGCAGAAGCCCCTAGCCCCACCACAGGGCAGAAGCCTTGAACTCCCCTCCCACCCCAGTCTGGTAGGTAGAAAATGGGAGGGGAAGAGGGGGCTCTGAGAGCCACACTTCAAGTGTAAAAGAGCCGTTTGTGGTTCGTGAACTGCAATTTGGCCACCCCTGACATATATGATGGGGTGTAGAAGGCCCAGAATGGGATTAATGACAGCCTGTACACTCAATCAGCTACACCTGCAGGAAGTGTCAAGCTTGGAGGGAGGAATTAAAAGGGCTGAACAGGGGTCAGGTGGTGGCTAGTCAGGAAGAAGAGCAGATGGCTGGTGCTCTCTCTCTCTCTCTCTGAGAGATGCCTGGCTGGAGTCAGGGAGCTGAGTTAGATGGCTAGCAGACAGAATCTCCCTGAAGGAAAGGTAAGCCTGCAACAGGGAGCACCAGACAGTTGTAAAGCAAAACTGGGGAGCGTCTACCCAGGGTTCTCTGTGCTGGCAGAGAGGCCTTCAGGGAGCAGGAAGATTTCTGCAGGTTCAGTGATTGCCCTGTGAGGGGAGTGAATGGCTGAATGTGCCAAGGAGCTCTGCAGTGAGCCTGGAGAAGCAGTTCAGACAGAGTGATGCCAATACACAGTGAGCCCGGGAAGAGACTGTGAGAAAGGCCTACAGCAAGGTAGGAAGTGTAGTGGTCCAGGGAGGCAGCAATGGGTCTGTGCAGACAAGCCTCGACTGCCTATTCAAGGGTCCCTGGACCAGAACCCAAAGATGAGGAAGGGGTGGGATCATATGGATATGTCTACACTTCAGCTGGGTGTGAGCCTCCCAGCCCAGGTCAGCAAACACATGGTAGTATGTGTGGGGCTCAAATTAGTGCACCAAAAATAGCAGGGTGGACATTCTGGCTTGGTCCCTCTAGCCTAGGGGGGTGGTCGGCTTGACTGCCCAAGTGGCAATGTCCACAGTGCTATTATTATCACACAGGCTTGAGCCCCATGTACACTAGTGTGAGTTTGCCTACCTGGGCTGGGATGCTCACTCCCAGTTGCAGTGTATACATAACCAAAGTGACCTGGCCAGTGAGGCACAAGAAAAAGCAGACCACCGCAGGGGACACCAACAAAGGTGAGCTTGTTATGCCTACCTAGCCACAAGGGGGCATAGCAACTGGTGAGTAACACATTTTACACAGGCTGCTAATTTGGATCTTGGGTGATCTTGGGTTCAATTCCTGCTCCCCCATAGATTGCCTGTATGGGCAAGTCACTTAACTTCTTAGTGCCTCAGCTCTCCATTTGAAAAATGAGGCTAACAGTACTTCCTTACCTCACAGGGACATCATGAGGATAAATACATTAAATACTATGAGACACTCAGATACTATGGTGACGGGGGACATAAGTACCTATGACAGATTTTAACTGAATATGCCAAATTCCTTACTCAAGGCAAATACACAGCTCCCTTTCAAATCAGCTGTAGTCATCTGAGAATGTATTAAAGCAAACCTTGGTCCAAAGAGTCAGACAACTTTTTCCTTGTGTTAATTTTAGTTATGCTTTAGTACCTGTGCATAAAATTATGTTCTGGTTTATAGCCCTTGTAGGAGCATCACAAACTGCTTTTGGAGAGAGCCTGACAAATACTTCAAATACTTACTTTTTGTGTTTTCCAGAGACTTCTTGGAAATTGAAGGGAAAGCAGTTGTTTCTTTATATCCCTGAAGGAAAACAATACAATCTAAAATGTTATATCCCAACCTTACAACATCGTATTCACCTGAGGCAAGTAAACTATTTTTTTCCTCATCACTGTGATACAGCTGGGCAAGCAGATTTTGTGCCTGGTTTGGAAAACATGCATGTCCTTTTAACAAGCCTGATTTAACCATACTGATAGAATTTGTTCTTTTCTTAACTCTTGAGCAATAATGGGCTCGCCTACTTTAGACTTTTAGCATAAATGTGAACACATACATACAATAAAACAGTTACACTGTGACAGTGAAAAGAAAGTCCTTAGCTAAGGCCCCTCCACTCAATGACTGATATAAGAATGAAGGTTTCCGCATGTTAGAATTAATAAGAAGCATAAGCTGAAAACATAATTAAAATTTAAGTGATCAAGTGTTCATATGAAAGCTGCTCAAATATTGCTTACTCTGTGCTGAGGTTTCTGAGGAAAAATCCCCTTTGCATAGGCTGCCCACATGATGTTTTTGCACAGATTTTTCAATACATTAACCCAACTAAATTATGAAAAAGAGGGTGATGATCCACTTCTTTTTGTATTGCCAGTTTCACTAGCTATTTTCAACTAGGAAACCACGTGGTTCCAGGCAAAACCCTCTTCTGAGCAGCTTCTTAAACACCTTCTAAGAAAATAAAATTAGTAACAGGGTAATAGTAAAGACAGCTGACAAAACATATTCAAGGTCCTCTCATTTAAATGAGTGAATGTCAGCATATTACAGCCTTTCAATGTTCCACATTCCTGAATTTTGCCCAGAAAACAGGAGCAGCAGCACTTATTTCCAAAGTGTCCATAAAATGAGGAGGTGGTGTTGCCCTCTCATAGATTCTCCTCAAGCAGCAAGGGGAAAATATTCATCCATTTCTCCTCAAGTCCTTCTGACCCTTTAGGAGGTTGAGTTTACTGGCTCCTAAGTAGCTCTAGTCCATAGCAACATCCTCTTGCTCTACCTGTTTTGGTGGTTTGCGCCTTCCACACACATGGAGTTTCTCTGCTAATTATATCCACCCTTTCAACACACTCAGCTTATATGCAAACATTACTGCTGTCAGGATTCATAACAAACCATTCAACAGGAAAAAACTTCTGAGTTATTTCTCCAGATGGGGAGAGGCAGTAGAAGACCAATATTTTTTTTATTTTACAACTCAATTCCACAAGTCCCCTTTCCCTCTGTGAGAGAATTTTTTGTTTAAGAGCTTGTGTATTTTGTTTTTCTGATAAAACATCTACTTTTTTGAGGACAATCTGTCTCTACTAGGTACTTATAAGGTGCCTGTCACCTCAGTATCTCAGCATCAAAACAACTACAAATGTTTTGTGCAACTGTTTCACAGAATCATAATTAAAATGTAAAAAGAAGCAGAGTTTTTGTTCTTACTAACTTTTAGAGTACAGTACAGTCACCTCAGCCCACTAGTCAGCAAAGGCTCCATCATCCTAAATGAGCTCTGTATCTGCAGACATTAGTCTGCTCTAAGAGGGGAACAGCAATGTAAGCCAGAATTTAGCCTTATGACCATGGGCAGCACATGACTCCTGCATTTAGAGAGGCTGGACATGAGTGCTGGAAGCTCCCTAGAAGAGTGGGGGATGGGGGGGGGGGAGAAAGGAATCAGTGCCTGGATTGTGGCCCCACCCCCTACCCTAAGGCTCTGCCCATGCTCCACCCCCACTCCACCCCAGGCCCGCCACTCATGCCTCTCTGCCCTCTCCCTGAGTACCCCCACCCACTGCTCATGCCTCTCCACCCCCTCCCTTGAGGACCCCTCACCCGTTGCTTGCACCTCTCCACCCTTTCCACCAAGGCCCCTCCCGTGCCCACCACTTCTCTAAATTTAAAGTGGTTACTGGGACCTCATTAAACCAGCACAATGAGACTCTATATT